GTAGCGATGGAGAGATTTCCTGTCGAGATTTTTTTCTCTTCGAAGTAGATTTTTGTGAATCATGAGGGCTCGATGTTTTTCTTAATTTATACATGACTACGTGTATTGTTTACATATAAGCAAAGTATGTGATTCTGTATAAATGCCCACATAAACCGCGTTTGTGTATTATCCACTCTCTTGCATGTCCCCACAGTTCCTAATGTCTCCACTGTTTGTAGAGAATGAAGAAACTCTCTGAAATGTGACTCGTGGTAGAAACTAGCAAATTACTGTACTAAACTTTCAAGTATAATGTTCATTTTTGAACGATGACATTTTTTGTCTATTGCTTATGCGGTCTTACGTGCATTACGATTGTGACTTTGAGTTTAAGAAGATAACGTACAATCCCCTGCAAATGTCATGAAAAAAAAAAAACAAAGTATTTAGATTTATTTACCCATGTCCGTTTCATCTGATTTCTCCAAATTTCTCTTCTCTCATATAACCATTTAACTCTCAAATTTTTCATTTCACTTGATCACCCCTCCCGAACATAGCCTAACCGGTTTGCCAAATTGTTTGCCAGATTTGAAACTCCGCATCAGTCACCAAGCATCTTTTTCTCCCAGCATCAAAATAGTAAATCTAGCAATAAAATTATGTCTTCTCCAATGAGAAATCCCCTAAGATAGATGGCAAGTAAATGTTTCCACAGAAAATAGTAATCTAAAAAACACCTAAAATCCTTGTAATTGAATGTCAAAATGTCAAAAAGGAGATTGACGGTATGTAATCCCTTTAAGTAGAGTTTTTCACATAGAAGATAAGGTGACAAAAGAGAGAAAGGAAGAAGCCCATGAGGGGAATGCAAGAGACTCGATCATTGGAGAGCTTGCATGTAGGAAACAAGGTATTATCAGATCCATTTACAGACTTCTCAGCAGTTAGAGGCGGCCTATAACCTTAAAAACAGCCAGCATGCATGTATGTTGGGCAATAAGCTTAAGCACCATTAGCACCAAGAAACTAATCTCCAATCTTCAGAGACACGAAGGTTTTCTAGTAGCGTAGACATACAAGCTCCTAACCTTATGTTCAGGTTCCTATGAACACTAATCTTAGTTGGCTTCTTGGCACCTACAATTGAAATAAACAGCTGCAAAGAAAGAGCAGTTCTTCAAAATGATAGCACAAGTGCCATATAATGGTTAAGGCAAACCAATTTGGTTTTTCAACATCTCGGTCTTGTCATGAGATTATCCTTCCGTGCTACAGGCTGCACCCTGTTTTTGGATTTTCGACAGAAATGCTCCCCGCATATCAGTGTGATTGTGCTTCAAGAAGGATGTTTGTAGCTGCATTGACATCATTTCTAGCCTGCACGAGAGCCTGCCTTGCTGAATTCCTGTCAAAGCCCATGGAGACCAGCGTAGCAATAGAGTCCTCTGCTGGCTCTGTGGTTGAAGGTATTGGTACAGGGTAGGTTCTCTGAAACTGATGAAGAGAATGAACAAGAGTTGTAAGCACAATAGAACCATATTCACATAAAAACCTTTGATTACATTCGTGATAAAAGTATATGGCCTGTTTGGTTCAATTCTTATTCAATAACCATTCTGCTTTTCTTTAATTACTAGCATATTCTTCACATGTATAATGAGATTATTATGTTCAAGACATATGCCAAAACCAAAATAATCCGCTCCTGGAAGAATAAACGGAAGCATGCATAACCTTTTCTTATGTTCTTTCTGAACTTTGATTGAGAATGGATTCAGCTCAGTATTTAAAACTATTCAATAAGTATAATTTCTGGTAGAAAGTAAATTTTGTCCTTTTAAATAAAAAGTGTGAAATGTATTAATTACATGCACCAATGGGATGTAAAAACCCATGTGCAATGGTAGAAAATAAATTGTTTCAAGATACAGATTGCTAATGACTGATGGTGAAAATACATTATTATGAAGGACATGCACAGTCGTACATGCCAAATGATATGATATTGAAAAATGTTTATGCAACAGAATGAACATTCAGGAAAAGGGCAAAAAGATACTTGCCTCTGCTTGGTGACCAGTGTAGGATGGTGCACTTCCTACAACATTCCTAGTTGATGACGCAGGTCGACTCCCCATAGATGGTAAAGATAGCCGTGAAAAAAATGAAGCAACAAACTCGGGAAACTGTAATTAAACAACAGACTCCGCATGATTATCAATTATTCCAACTCTTACATTGTTGTTTTTTTTTTCTAAAAATAAAAGTTAGAATAATATTAGAAAGGTACCAAGGTAGTACCTACCCATTTACAAAAGAATTTTATATATCAATGAGCAAATCAACAACCGCTCCAATATCTTCTAAGGATAATAAATTACGATTCAAAAGAATGGAGCCAAAATAGTGTAACCATCTATTTTTAATATTTACAAGAATATTTTCTATACCCTCAAAAGCACGATTGTTTTATTCTTTTTATAAAATCCAGAAAATAGTAAGGGGAATAAGACTAGCAGCTTTGTTATTAAGATGATAAACCTTCTCATGCCAAAAGCTCATTATAAATAGAACCCGCCATTACCCAAATTTCTTTTTTCAGCTAAAAAAATGTTAAAAATATTTTTAACAAGGTGCCAAAGGGGACACCACCCGTATACAAAACATTTACAAGTGCGTTAACGTATCAATGACATGCCCAAAATCATTCATTCTAATAATGTCATGACCTAACAAAATAAACCAAAATATTACAACCATCTATCTTTAATTTTATTATTCTCAACCCCTTTGCCATCAAAAACTCTACTATTACTTTCCTTCCATAAGACCCAAAATATGGACAGAGGAATAATCTTTACAAAGTTCCCACTACTTTTGCACAGCCCTTTCCAAGCCCAAACCTCTTCCCTAACCGATTCCGCCATGACCCAGTTAATGCCCATTAAACCATAAAGCAAACACCAAAGACTATAGGCAATAGGACATCTAAGCAAAATATGATTACAAGATTCCACATTCCCCATACATAAGTAGCACCTGTTGACCAAGCACATGCCCCTTTTCCTTAACTTGTTGATAGTCAAGATGTTTTCCCTACAAGCTTCCCACGCAAATAAAGCTATTCTAGGGAGGGGACAATATTATCCATATTTATGAGGCCGGAAAGTCACCATTTCTGCACGTATCAGAACTCATAATATGAGAATAGAATGACTTTACAGAAAATTCATGGTTCTTGCTCAGTTTCCACAAAAACCTGTCATTGCATGTAGTAATCTGCTGTAGCTCCAGTCATTGCAGCAAGGACTCATATTCATGCACCTCCCAATCATTTAAATTTCTGCATACATTAACCTGCCAGCTGACCAAACCATTAATTGTCTTATAAGCCTCATCAATTTTGATACTCTTGGACCGAGCAATAGCATAATACTTGGGAAAGTCTCCATGAGTCTCAAGTTATCAATCCAAACATCTTCCCAGAAATTTATGCAGTTCCTTTTACCCACACACCACTGAGTACAGTCTTTAAAGTTATCCCACCCCATCAGAATTTTCCTCCATAAACCATAACCATGCAGACGGTTGAGTCTCCCAACTAATAGCTCCCGATTTGCATCTCCCCATCTGGCAGCAATGATTTTCCTCCAAATCCCAACATCCTCATTAAAGAACCACCAAAGCCATTTTCCTTGTAGAGAGGCATTCATCTCCACAAGAGACTTAATGCCCAGGCCACCACTGGATGCTGGTTTTTTCACCTCATCCCATTTGACTAAGAGAAATCTCCTTTTGTCCATGTCATCACCCCATAAAAAAGGGCACCGAATAGACTCTAGTCTTTTTGCAACCTTCACCGGTATGCTAAGAGCAGATAAATAATAAATGGGTAAATCACTTTGAAGACAATTAATGGTGTCTTACCCAATTAATACCCATCAAGCTGTAAATCATAGACCATAAGTTTGTAGAGAAAGGGCACCATAAAAGGATGTGGTTACAGCTCTCAGCATTGCATTTGCAGAGTAAACACCGGTTGACCAAAGTTCTGCCTCTTTTCATCAAATTATCCAAAGTCAGAATTTTTTCCTTATCGCTTTCCACGTAAAGAAAGCAATCCTGGGGGGAGCATTAGTTTTCCATATTGATTTAAATGGGAAGGGAATTTCTTTCGTGGGTGAAGATGGACCCGACTCCGACCCATCTCCATTACTCACATCAGGACCAGGCTTGGGAAGCTTTTTTGGAGATGTCCTCTCTTTGGGCCTCCACAACCATAATACATTTGGGCTTCGTTTTTTTTTTCTGTTTTCCTTGTTTGGTCCAGAATCCTCAACCCATTTTCCTTTCTCTTCTGTGGTATATTTGGGTTTCTAGGAGGACTCTGGGTCCAGGCCTATAACAGTGGGCTTTAAGGTTTGGTTTCCCGCCCCCCTTGACTTTTTGATTTTCAAATTGAGTCAATCGGGTAGAAACCAGGTCGGGTTTTGTCTTCTCCGCCCAGCCAAGATCAGCTTTCTCTGTTTGCAAAATTTCTGTAAAGGATTTTGTTTTGTCAGCCATCACTTCTATGCAGAAGTCTTGCTTACAATAAGGATAGCAGAGCACTGTTTTTCTCTTCGGTAAGAAGACTAAGTCAGGGGAGATCGGGGCATTCAAGTACGTGCCTCTTTTTTCTGGATAGACCAGAGGGGTGTCGGATAGTTCAAACACTGCTTTCATAAGTCTCCACCAACCTCCTGCCTGATAACCTACTGGGATGAACAGGCATTTGAAAGCTTTTCCGTTTTGCTCCAACAGCACCAAAAATCTTCCACTCCAGTATCAACAAAGTGTCAGATATAGAGTACAAGTAACTCCCATAAGCTTCTTCCCCCAAGTGGCCCCCACTTGAACCAGTAAAAATCACTGAGTCAATGAGCCAGTTTACCTCATTTCTGTTCATTGAGATTGTGACCCTAACACCTCTATCATTTTCGCATAGCCTGAGGCCGTCGAGGTGTTTGTCGTTCCTTATCACGTCAAAGGATTTCATATCGATGAGAAAATATGTTCCATTTAGGTCTGAAGACATCAATCACCGAGTGTTGGAAGGCCATCTGGCCAACCGGACATGAGACGCGAAACCCTAGTCCTTGTGCTTTCAAAGAGAAGAGGTCAAGGAGCAACAGAGTTAAGGTTAATGGCTGGGTTTTGGGATCGTCGCACAGTAGAGGAGAGAGGAGAGCGGGATTTACAGACAGCCTACTGTATTCACACCACCACAAATGAAAACACTAATTCCAACTCTTACATTGTAAACACTAATTGGTTACATATAAACACTAAATTTTTTTTTTTTTTGAAATAAAACACTAGACAAATTCAAGCAATAAATAACATATCAAACAAAGGACAAGGACATATATTTTTAACAAGTCAGATGACTCATAAATAATCACAACCTACTTTAAGATGTTCTAGTTATTACCAAAAAAAATAGATAATGTATTAGTCTCTTGAAGTGGTTCACCAAAGAAATGGACTTCCTCAGCAACACTATGGAATTCAGACTCAATCCCTCAAACGAAGTCTCCTTGGGCTCAATCACTCAAACGAAATCTCCATAAGCTCAATCAGTCAAATGAAGTCTCCATAAGCATATGAACATATGCATGAAAAATTCATCTAGTAGTTGTAGAACCTTAGTCAAACTTTTAGTGACTATATCAAATGAGAAAGTTCCAGATTTAAGTTTTTTTTTTAAAATGAAGTTCCAGATTTAAGTTATTACTTCAGTATAGAAATACTTTCCTTCAGGAAAGGAAATCCTGTCACAAATATTCTGAAGCTATCAAATGAATAATTTGTACTCCAAAAGAAGCATTTTCAGCATAGAAAGTAGATTAGAACATAACCTTTGCCCTACGGATGCTAAACACATTCAGGCGGTATAAGGAACCAGCAAGAATGCCACATACCCCTGGCAAGAATGACCTTTTCCACGATGACAGAAGAAGCTGCAAGTTAGAATCTAAGATCATTCCTAAGGCTAAATAACATAGATGAGAAGCACTGAAGTAATTATTGACTATTTTTCACCTGAAGCCCAGCTAGATATATGAAAGACTTATCAGAGAAACGAACATTGAATACTCGAAACCTTGTTGAAACAGGAATGTCAAAATAGAAGGGTACAAATGAAGCAAATACAAGGCCATATGGTCCTGAGGTGAGTACGTTCATGGGATCTGCAAGAGGTAATAAGCATAGAGTTTTAGCACTGAACTAGTTGCTGAAAATACACACAAAAAATTAGTATTAAATATTGAAATTTTAACACCTGCTGTAAAAAGTCAAATCTAATAACAAATTTACAACTCACAAGATTGAGCATTTAAAAGATAACGACTAGCATCTATATTGCACATGGCAAAATAGCTAAGGCCAAAAGGCAGGTTAAGTGGCCACTTCCAATGGCTGCCAATGACAAAATAGACGTCCATGGAAGACGATAAATATGATCACCTGTTGATAACTAACCTGGCACATAATCTAACATTATCTGTCTGCTTATAACTGTCCTCTACTCTTTTTGGATTTTTAATAAAATAACAAGTTCACACAGGCCCTAAAAAGTTTGTCCATGCGTACCAATGTAACCTAGCTTCCATGATATATAAGGCAAGGTTCAATTCTGAATTGAATTTCCAAGAAATCGGTCTTATGCTACCCATATTAGCAATAATGGTTAGAAACAAATCAGGATTGACCTGGTTCCTTATCTTAGTTCATTACTGGATGGTTCCGCTCTACCAAATTTTCTTTTTCCTTATAGCCCTACTTAATCAGGACTATTTCGACTGCTATTTAATTATTTTATAAACTCAACTAGGTACCCAACTTTTGATGATAATTTAAGCTCATGAAACTTGAGGCTATCAAGCCAAAAAGTAATACATTTATGCTATCACATCAATCACTCTTTAATATATACTAAAGAGTAATACATTTATGTTCTCTTCCTTCAAGTATATCCTAGCTTTTTGCCATATCTATTGTCCCTTAATATGCCTTTTGATAAAGAAGTTAATTGAGTTCTAGTGCTGCTTGATGAACAAACTTGAGAACAAAGTTAATGTGGAAAGAGGATGGAAATGTTAGGACCTGATAGCAGCTCACCAAGAATTAGCAGACACATATGGGCCCAGCTGTCAACTTTTGGTAATGTTAGATAATTGAGATTAGTAATGGTTAACTATGCATGAGTTGAAGTATTTGTTAGTCCTATCTCCTGCATCTGTATTTTGCATGCACTTCT